TCCTGTAACTTAGCAACTTTCTTTTGCTTTGTTAAGGTGGGCTCTTCAATCTCCTTAATGAATAAGAGAATCAGGCCAGGTAATTGATGCTTGGCCATTTAGCTGATGAATAATTAACCRTCTGGGTAACTCTAGATATTTCCTCGATCAGATTGTGCAGTGGAACAGCTATATCATCTGGGGTGCAGCATGGCTCACAATTTTGGGGTGCTGGAAATGTGCTGTGCAAGCCCAGGGTCTGGAGGAACCTTCCAGAGTCAGAGCTCGTCCTCTTCCTCCACACAGATCAGACACAAGAGCTCAAGATCTCAGGCAATGGGGCCATGGAACCTCCTGAGGTTCAGCAAAGCCCAGGGATGRTCCCTTCCAATCCAAACCAKCCCCTGATTCTGTGATTTTGGTAACAGGCTGCATCTCAGCCACAGGAGTAATTTCATCATGTGAATCTTGACTCAGGTCTGAAAACACGATTTCTTTTCCAGATCCGCAGTGAAGATGAACTGAGGGCTCAAGGTGACCTCCGGGTGGGCTGGGGAGGGGAGTGAGGGCTCCAGAGGAGGAGCAGGAGGGGATGAAGGGGCAAAGTGGCCCGGAGGGAGGTGGCCCTGGGTGAGCTGTGTGTGCTTCAGCTGCCTCACAGGAAAACACTGCAGCAGCCCCGGAGGAGGAGCTGGGGGTGCAGGACTTTGTGTGTTATTCTAAACAGTAACTGAAGAACATTGAAAGGGGCAAATTCTGTCAGCTCTGTGACTGTAACACATAGTGCTGCTCCCAGTCCATGGCTGAGAGGGTATAGGCATGAACTGTAGATTAAATAACTCATGGTTTTATTTAAAACTTCCCATAAGTCCTGTGTTAGCATGTACTGCATATTTTTTAAACTAAATGGAGTTAATACAATGAAACCAAGAGCCTATTGGCACCATTCTGTRATGTGCTTTGAATTAAAATCGAAACAAGGACAGAATATTTTGATGTATTAGGAAAATGGCTAACAATCCATGAACTGTGACAAAGGATAAAATAACACATGCTTTTAATCTGACTTTTGCCTTCAGATTTCAAATGAGTCACCAGCAATGTTTCATCAGGGTATGGGTTTAGGTTTTTTTCTTCCAGAAAYGCCATTAATTATTTACCAGTAGGTGAATGATCTCTGAAATCTATTGCAGTGACACCTTTGAGTCTGCAGACAGTTTCTGATGGCAAACCATCTGGGCTCCTTTAACTTGTTATTGTTTATCCTTTGGACTCCTCTCCCCTGGCTGTAAGGTGTAACGGCAGCAGACAGGGCCAGGAGCATCAATATTTTACAGCATTAATTAAAGTGAACAGTTCACTCCCAGCTGCCTGCAGGAGGGGAGGGAAGGACCGTGCTTAAAGCAGGTGCCAGGAAAGGTGTCCTGGGACGGGACAGAGGGACAGAGGGACAGAGGGACAGAGGGACAGAGGACAGAGGGACAGAGGGACAGAGGGACAGAGGACAGAGGGACAGAGGGACCCTCCGAGCTGTGACAGCAGCCCCGAGCTCAGCACTGCGGGCACACAAACCATATTCGGCTGTGGCAGGAGCAGTGCCTGCGGTGACATCGGCACCGGGGGAAGGAGGGCGTGGGGTCCCCCGAAGATTCTCCTCACTCGGGAGAGATTGCAACAGCAGAGAGAAGGGAGAGACTGCAGCAGCAGCAGACAGAAGGGAAAAGCTGCCAACCTTGTGCAAACAGCCTCGGAGCCGGAGCAGGAGAGTCGGACTCTGGCAAGCAGGCGCTGATCGGGCTCTGCATCCACCCTTTGCATCTTTTTGTTTATTGACATTAACAGACAGCACTAAATAAAGAGGGGTTAAAACCAAACCAAAACAAAGGCCTGAAATTTATCCCTCTATTAATTACTTCCAGCAAGCAGGGCCGCCTTTAAAGCGGTGCCACTTCAGATAAAACTTTCATGCACCTATTTAGGGCCTCTGAAATATAAATGATTTCCTTTAAATGTTTTATCATAAATCAGGGCACAGAGCTTCTCCACAGTGACGCGCCGGTTCCCTCCGGCGGGAGAGAGCGCTGGCCCGGCCCGGCCCGGCCCTCGGCCCCGGAACCGGGCGGGACTGGAGCGGGACGGGAACGGGAACGGGAACGGGAACGGGAACGGGAACGGGAGTGGAGAGAGAGGGAACGGGAACGGGAAAGGGAACGGGAACAGGAACGGGAACGGGAAAGGGAACGGGACCGGGAACGGAACGGAGCGGAGAGAGATGGAACGGAAACGGGAACGGGAACGGGAACGGGAACGGGAATGGGACCGGGAACGGAACGGAGAGAGATGGAACGGGAACGGGAACGGGAACGGGAACGGGAACGGGAACGGGAACGGGAACGGAGCGGGCGGGAGCGGACGGGGCCGGCGCTGTCCGCGGTGCTGACCCCGAACCCCGGCAGCGCCTCTCGCTCCCGTCCCTCCGCAGCCGCTCCCGCTCGGGCCGGGCCGACCTGCGGCAACAGCGGGGCAGAGAGAGGATTTTTAGGGTCCCTTCCAACCCAACCCGTTCCTTGATTCTGTGTTGCTCGAATTGTGTTTCCCAAAGGAAGCCTTTCCACCACAGCGGGGACACTTCTTTTCCCTGCCCACCATCAGATTTAGTTTTGTCAGAAACCAGATAGTAGYTCCTTCTGCTTTTGGTCCGTATTTATCGAGGCATGTAAGTCTTGGAAACTTTCAATCTCGCAACAGATTTTTCTTTTGTGGTAAGAACTTGGAATTTTGCRCAATATTTATGTCTCAGGTCCATCAAAGTCAGTATTGTCTGAAGATGTGTGAAGATTGGGAAAGCAAGAATGAAAGGGCCGCTCAATAGTAGAACAATGCCAACTTCAGGACCGCTTTCCGGGGGGTGGGTGTGTGGACTCCTGCCCCTCTGCTCCAAACGTCAGCCCGTGAGTTTTGCCCATGGAGAAACGCTCGCTCCTCCGCTCTTCTTTCGCCGGGACCCGCCGGCCGAGGCAGGAGCGGGATTGGAGCGGGGACGCCCCGGGGAAGACGAGTCGCTCCGGCCCCACGCCGCAGCCGGACACCCCGGACACCGGCAACCGGCCCGAGCCCCGGGTGGGTGTGCGGGCGGGGGGCCCGGGGGCCGGAGCGACTCGGGACCCGTGCCCTGCCCGGTGTGCCCGGAGCATCACGCGTGCGCGGGCAGCTGTAAGATGAGAGGCAGCGGTGCGGGGCGGGCCGGGGGAGCTGTGCCACCCAACACCGCTCACTCGGCAGTGCCGAGGGCAGACACGCTCCGCTCCCATGTCCGGGGCGTCCCGCCCGCGGGCCGGTGGAGATGATGGCCATGGACGCCAAGCAGCCCTTCGCCGCCCTGCAGGAGCCCAAGTTCCCCGGTCTGCACGCCGGCGCCGAGGCGATACGCAGAGTTTGCCTCCCGGCCCCGCAGGTACGTGGATGCAGCGCAATWGCCGCTCTAAGCCACATTTTCTGACAGGCACCGGGTTAATGTTTTTTTCATGTCGGCAGCACCATCGCGCGTCGCGGCTCCGCGACCCCCCCGTGYCCGCCCCCGATCCGCGCGATGCGGAGCGGGGCCGCTGCCTTCCTATTAATTTTTATGACCTGAGCTCCGGGGAGGACCCGCGGTGCCGGGGCCGGTTTTTCAGGCGGMGATGACAGAATTCCCCACTGACCTCGCCATGCGTGCTCTTGCTCGCAGCTGCAGGGCAATATATTTGGGAGCTTCGATGAGAGCCTGCTGGCCCGCGCCGAGGCGCTGGCGGCCGCGGACATCGCCCCCCACGCCAAGGGCCACCACCTCCACCCCCACTTCAAACCGGACGCCACCTTCCACGCCATGAGCGGCGTCCCTTGCGCCGCCGCCGCCCTCCCGCACCCCGCCGCCCTCGCCGCYCATCCGCACCCGCTCCCGCACCCGGCGCTGGACGGCGGCGATCTGCTGGAGCACCTCTCGCCGTCGCTGGCCGTGGCGGGGCTGGCCGAGCCCCCCGCGCTGCCCGCCCCGCTGCCGCCGCCGCCGCCTCTCCCGACCGCCGCCGCGGGACCCCTTCCCGTGCCCGTGGGTGCCCCGGGGGTTGCCGCSGCCGCCGCGGACCCGCGGGAGCTGGAGGCGTTCGCCGAGCGCTTCAAGCAGCGGCGGGTGCGGCTGGGGGTGACCCAGGCCGACGTGGGGGCGGCGCTGGCGGCGCTGAAGCTGCCGGGCGTGGGCTCGCTCAGCCAGAGCACGATCTGCCGCTTCGAGTCGCTGACGCTGTCGCACAACAACATGACGGCGCTGCGGCCGGTGCTCCAGGCCTGGCTGGAGGGTGCCGAGGCCGCCCGGMGAGCTCGCCCCGCCGGCCCCGACCCGCCGCCCGGTGCCGAGCGCAAGCGCCGGCGGACCTCGATCGCCGCCCCCGAGCGGCGCTCGCTGGAGGCGTATTTCGCGCTGCAGCCCCGGCCCTCGGCCGAGAAGATCGCGGCCATCGCCGAGAAGCTGGACCTCAAGAAGAACGTGGTGCGCGTCTGGTTCTGCAACCAGCGCCAGAAGCAGAAGCGCATGAAGTACTCGGCGGTGCACTGACCGCCCCTGCCCCGAGCGCCCCGACGGCGCGGCCCCCGGCACGGCACGGCACGGCACGGCACGGGACGGCACGGCACGGGAAGGATGGCCCTGAGCGCCCCCCGCCCCGCCGAGCCAGCCCCGCCCGCTGCCCTGGGACAGAAACCCGCGGGGCGCGGAGCGGGAGAGCGGAACCGGGAGCGGAACCGGGAGCGGAGCCGGGAGCGGAGCCGGGAGCGGAACCGGGAGCGGAGCCGGGAGCGGAACCGGGAGCGGAACCGGGAGAGGAGCGGAACGGCGGGAATTCCGAGGGCCCTCGAACTCCGTTCGCGGCGGACAAAGCCTTCGGGGAGCGCCCCGGGCAGAGCCGCTCCCGCCGCCCCCGCCGTCCCACCCCGTCCAGCCGCGGGCGAGCCCCGCGCCCTACTCCCCAATAAAGGTTTATTTTTCAACCCGCCGGGACGTGTCGTTCCTCGCGCCGCAGCGCCGACGGGAACGCCCGAAATGACCTGCAAGAGCAATTGCACCACCAGCAAACGCCCCTCAGTGGGACACGGGACCGGGCTGCTCCCCGCCGGGCCCCGCACCGGCACCGGCCCGGGGAAACGAAACATGCCCCCACAAAAACCGATACCGGCTTCGTTTCTGAAGCTGTTCAGGAGAGGGAAAGGGYTTTTATTTGCGATTCCCAGAAGCACCTTAACGATTAAACATTAATGTTCGAAGCGTGAGCCTCCTCTGAATATTCCTCTTTAGCATTTCAATRAGTGACAAACATCGAACTCGAGAACCGGGTCTCACCCTCGTTCTCCRTTAGGAAACGACCTCACGAATCCACTTTTTCCTCGCGGGCTCCCGGTAATGCTTCCTCGAGTCGCGTTTTTCCAATGAGCCTCAATGATTTTTCCCCAATCAAATGCCCTTTAATAATAAATGCCCTTATGTCATTATATCGTGGGTTCTGAAAATTTAGAGTAAAGGCGACGCAATATTAATCGCCTTCCGCACTMTAAAGAAGGCAACTCCGACAGCATTTTCCCTGCAGCTCCTCTCCGCCGCTCGGCCCCGGAATCCCCGGCCGCCGACTCCGGGCCGGTGTTTTCACATGTAAGAGGTGTTTTTATCTCTTCCCTCGGCCCCGCTGCCGTCGGGGCACGGTGGCGCTGGGCAGGGGGTGTGCGGGGGGCCAGGAGCGTTTCCTGACACGGGACGGAGATCCAGCTCGATGCCAGGCGGTGCCACTGCCGCGGGGCACCGCAGGCTCGTATCCTTTGTGTTCCAGCAGATGCAACCCCTCGCGCTGCTCTCGGATGGGATTAGTGTTCTCTTGGGTTTGGGTTAAACCCAGTCTGCACCTCGCCGAGCCCCCGCTCCTGCCCTGTAGSGCAGCACACCCTCACAGCTCCCCGRCCGCCACCTCTGTCCCTGTCAGCCTCTAGAAGGGAGATCGGACAGGGCTTCTTCCTACAACGGCAAAGAAATCACCGCCGTTTTACTTGTGCTCCTTCTGGTGTTGCCTAGATTTGCGGTTTTTTGACGGTTCCACGTTTTCCCCTTTCGCACAGCTACGGAGTGTGCCTAAAAGATGCAAAACAAATCCTAAAGGAGCTTTCCCAAACCTGCAGCTGCTGTCCCAGAAAGCAGCTCCTRTGAGCTCCTCCTCACCTCCAACACGTTCACCAGGGAGACCTGAAGCCCCTGGACCTTCTCGCTCGCTGTCTCTCCTGCCCTCCCTTCCTCCCTCCCGGCTCCTTTTCTCCCGGCTGTGTTTCAGGGGCTCTGCCCAGATTTCAGTTTGCAAATCCCGGGTCTATTTGCACTCTGCCTGTGCAGAGTCACGCCTTTCTGTGTCCAGACATCACTTAGAGGATCTGATCGCTTCGTTTGAGATTTCCTTTGGAGGTCAGGTACCTGCTGGTTGGGTTGGTCATCACTGCTGCCTTAGTCGGTCCCTGAGTGTGGCTCCCAAAACTTTGGTGCTCTGGACCAAACCCACTGTAACAGAGGAAACTCATCTGGTCTTCCTGGAGCTMAGGATTAACTTCTTTCGACCTCAGCGGGAACACAACCGGTATTTAAGAAGAAGCACAAAGAAGCTGCCCACGTTTTCCCTTTAGAATAACGAGCAGTCCTTGGAGGCAGCCGAGCATTGCCAAGGGGCGAGGGGAGGCGGGATGGAGCTAGCGCTCGGAATCCGGGCTGGTGAGAAACTGCCACCACATCACAGCCCCCACCTCGGTCTCTCCAGTGCCTGGCATTCAAGTCTTGCAATTTTCTTGGAGGGCTGGGGCTCCTTGTCCTGGGCAGTGAGTCTGTGGGACTCACCATGGGACRCTTAATTCTTCAAAGTATACCCCATCCACAAATCCGCCTCCCACCGGGAAAATAAAAAATGCAGGTGAAATTTGCTGAGAAAGGGAATTCCCTTTCAGTCACAATCCAGATAAAGGGAAACCTGCAGAGATAGGAAATGTCCAGTACATGTGTGAGAGGCTCAGCAAGCAAACCACTGTCTATGGTTCCTGAACCACTAACAATTGATTTTTTCCCCCCATCCCATGCTTGTTCCTTAATATCCTGCACGCTGTCTCCAGGGGCCTGTGCACAGGAGATGAAAGCACAGAAAACCAAACAAGCCATTGGCACTGCTCACTCAATTGATTTTTACACAAAATTTGCCTTCGTGCACGAAGGATGGAAAAATGATCCCATTAATAATGAATAACAAAAACAAATRCAGGGAGGAAATCAATAGCAGCACATCTGATAACAGAGGGGGCGTCAGGGGGTGTCTCTCAGATATACAAAAGCGTGTGTGAGGGGGAGGGGAGAAACGGGAGGGTCTCGGGGGCTCCAGGAGGGAGGCAGCAGGTGCTGTGGTGCAGGTGGGAATAGCTGATGGCCTGGCAGGAGCGTGTGCATGTGTGTGTGTGTGTGTGTGTGTGTGTGTTCATGTGTGTGTCCATGTGTGTGTCCATGTCCATGTCCATGTCCATGTCCCCATCGGGGCAGGGTCCGGCCACCCGTGTCGGCTCCAAGGGGGCACCAGTGGCATGATTTGGCCAAGTTCTGATGTTGCAAACAGGCTGAAATTCCTCACGCTCAAAATAATTCATCTAGAGACATAAGGAAATATTTAGGAAAAAACTATATAATCCTTTCAATGTTGGACTTTTCAAAGAGAGATTTTGTGCTTTTTCCCAGTATTTTTTTTAGCAGGGGTCAGGGGAGGGGCAGTGAAGGAACCTGAAATATTTTAGATAGACCAAATTTTTTTTTTTGTCAGAGACACTGGGGTGGGAGAAGTCCTTTGCTTCCTCCTTTAATGAGAAAACCTGAAATATTGTAAATTGGGGGTCAGCCCAGGCCAAAGCTGCTGGAGGAGTGAAGCAGTGGGACGCTTGCAGCCTTGTCCCCTGCCAACGGGGCATGTGAGCCAGTCATGTAGTATTAGTGGCTCCATGTTGCAGTCAGGTTGGAAGCCACGTGCAGGCACGTTAACATGGAAAACACATTAGCCCCCRCCGAGGAAACCTGAGCAAATTGGCCATGAGATGAGGCGTCCTGGGATTTCACACTGATGCCATTCCTGAGACAGGACAGCACGGCAGAGTGCTGAAGAGTGTGTTGGCTCCAGTTCACCACAGTCCCAGCAGCCACAGGAGCACGGGACAGGAGCAGCCTCTGCAATGGCACAGTCCCGGTGTCACCTGCCACAGCCCCCATGCCAGGGCCCGGAGCCACCGCCACCCTCCCTTATGCTGTGGGAATGGGAGAGCATGTCTGCCCCGTGCCTCGGAGCCAGCTTCTGTCCTAAAACCTCATGAAATATTAACCCCGGAGCCGGAGCACTCGTGGTCTCTGAGGGAAAGAGGCACATTTGCAATGCTCCGAGGATGATGTGCTTYTCCTGACGCTCTGTCACGCGCACTCGCACAGGACCCGCACGCCGAGTGTCCCTGGGGCAGGGACAGAGCTGCCGGGCTGTCCCCTCGGCTGACCCTGCCGCGATTCCCCGCTCCCGGGGCCCCGCCGGTGCGGGGATTAACGGGGCAGCTCCGGACCCCCGCTCTGCCGCCTGTGCCGGACCGTGTGTGCGCCGTGCGCTGAGCGGGGACCGGGGGCAGCCCGTGGAGAAACCGGCGGCAGTGCGGGCTGGGGAAGGGACTCGGGGGGAACAGGAGTCGCGGTCAGGAGCTGGACGAGAGCCGCGCAAGAGCAGGGAAGCAAACAGGGAGCCTCCACGGCCGTGGGGAGCCCCGCTCTGCGCTCCGACAGCGGGACCGAGTGCTCGGCTCCGCCTTGGGAACAGGCTCGGAGCTCCCCACGGCACTGTACCGGGACACCGCCCCACGGCACCGTACCGGGACATCGCCCCACGGCACCGCCCCACGGGCACCGTACCGGGACACCGCGCACGGCACCGACCCACGGCACCTCCCCGGGCCAGCATGGGGCCGGCGCGGCCGCAGCAGCGGCGCGGGGGAAACGGGAGAGCGGCAGCACCTAGGCACATCAATAATTCATAAAATGCCAGCAGCAACAGAGGGAGAGAGGGACCGGGAGCAGAACAGAATGTCACACAGCTTTTTAGTGGTCTTTTTCTATTAGTGTCAGCTCTGGGGCTGGTTTCAGACAGAACTTCCCCTGGATGCTCCCAGAATTTCAGGATGAGGCTGAGCACCCTCCTGGCCATGGCTGCTTCCAGTGGAGGCTGATGCAGTCACAGGACTCTGATGGTTTCAGAAGGACTTGCAGAACGGTGGCACTGTCCCTCCCGGCCAAGGCACTGCCCGAGGTTAACATGCTACTGGCAGCCAGGCTGGTCTCGACTCTGTTGGGCCAGAGCCAGCCATCACCTCCAACGAGCCCATTTTGGCAAACCCCTGCTCTGGCTGACTTGGGCCATGTTCCAAACCTCCTGCCCATCTGCTGCCATTAACATAGCTGAGCCTGTACCCTCTTTCCCCATGAAGGAGGGAATCTGCAGGCTCTATTTGTAGAGAAAAAAATTGGGATGTTTTCATGTAAATACAGGGCAAGCCTTGGACCCTTGGACCAGAGCAGGGAGCTCTGTGCCTGGAGCCTGARTGCAGCACRCCATGCCGTGCTGTGCCATGCTGATGAACAGGGAGGTGCCCTGKTAAATCTCAACAATGCCCAGATCTACCTGCTCCCCACAAGGCCTGGATGATGCCTTACGTGGCCTCAGACTGGTCCAGCCCAGCTCCAAGGGCAAGCAGGAGCACGGCTCTGTGGCCCCCAAGGTCCCCATGGAGCAGATGGGGACCAGCCYGATGGCTTCACCTCCAATTTCAGCAGAGAACCCCGAGATGAGGGGGGCTGAGAAAGCAGAGGCACCTCTGTGCCAGCAGGAGCCTCCCCCCACTGCTGCTCTCAGCRCAGTATCTGGGGGTCTCCCTGGCAGATGCTGGCACCACAGCAGCCCAGAGGCCCTGCAGACAGCCCAGGGCAAAATTTTTAATTTGTCATCACACTTCAACATGAAATCTAAAAAAAATTAAAAAAGAATGGCAAGATGTCAGTGTCTAGGAAGAGGCACAGCCTCATGGCTGCTACAGCTCCACAGCAGGGGCCAGTCCCAGCAGTGGGAGCCCACAGCAGCTCAAGGGCTGCCAGAGGGAACTTTGGTGCTGAAWCCAGCTCATGGCACAGAGCTGCGATGAGGATGAAGTAGGCCACTCACCTTGAACCRAGAAAACACAAGAGCATGGACAGGTTTGAGAGGGAAACATCCATATTAGGTTTTCAGGACTCCTTCTCATACACCTGGCAGAGAAGTCAGACCATGTCACAAATAGCTGTTTAAAAACTACAGAGATCCAAATATTTGAGAACTTTGCCAGTTTTAAACCTCCCTGGAAACACTTTCTGGGGCAGCAGCAGCAGTAGCAGCAGCAGCAGCAGCACAGCAGCTCTGTGCCAGTACCTGGCACAGTGTAGCCAGCAGCTTTCCAGCCATGGAACATTGGCTCTGGGGAGGATCGGCAGGACAGACAGGGGAACCACAGCTGCAGACTTCTCTGGAAAAGTGCCTGGATAGCCAGTGCACCCCCGGCTGTTTCATTTGCAGAATTCCATCAGCAGCCCCAGTAGCTCTGCAGCGGGTGAGGTTTGAGGTTTCCCCTGGCTCAGTGCCTGCCACAGCCCAGTTTCCCAGGGAGCATGGCCAGCGATCCCCTCCAGCCCCGGGAGCAGTGCCAAGGCTTTTCGAGGGGATGAACAGAGTGCTCCTGGCCTGCTGCTCCCCCACCTTGTACCGGCACCCCCAGTGCCCACTGGTAGCTAGGGAGGGTGTCCAGGCAAACAGCAACCTGAGCTATTGGAATTCTGGGTTTTAATGAAATCCATGGMAGTGCATATGAATCACTGTAAATTGTACTCTTGCCACGAGCCACATCCTGGGGCACAGGGAGCTGCCAGCAGATTYATCAAAATGACTCGTGTTTTGCAGCTCACCATTAACTGCTCCTGAAGGAGCTGCAGTCTGAGAATTCCTGACTGGAATGTTTTCAGAAAAAAAAGGGGAAAGGGGCTGGGGTACAGCAGCAGCTTCAGCCCCCCTGAACCTGGGAGAGGGACCTGCAGCTGCTCCCGCCTGCTAGCCTGACATCAATAAAACATGGAGAAAACTCTGGAACAGGGACGTGAAAAGAGGATGAAAGACACAATGAAGACAGGCAGCCCCACTGTGTGGGRAGGATTTGAACAATCGTGGGCAAAACCTGTCTTAATCTCTGCCATCAGAAAGTGCCGGTKMGGAGGATGAAGGGGGGACCCGGGGSTGTGGGGAYACACCCGACTCCATCTCMTCCCTACMGGCAGAGGAGCAGGCGCTGTGCCCCTCACCCCTGGCACAGCCAGGCACACATCCCCCTGCCAGGAGCAGGGAAGGGCCCGGCTCCCTGGGCTGCTGCCACCCTCTTTGGATGAAGCAGGACATGCTGGGATGGAGCAGGGCACACATGCCACACGCTCCCGGGGAGCACCAGCACCCGCTGACCTGTCCCAAATCCTCACAGTGGCAGCAACTTCAAGCAAAGCACATGAATAAAGACCCCAAACAGCGAACTCAAAATGTATCAGAGTCTCTGCGGCTCAGTACCACCAAAAGCCCCCCTAACAATTATTTATTTTCATTATTTAAAATATAGATCTTTTTATTGACAGCAGGAGAGGAATGGGAAACGGAAGTCTTAGCTGGAGACGGAGATGCCTGAGGGCCCAGCGAGGCTGTGGCATCCTCCGCCACCCGCCCGTGTCCCGGGACACGTCCCGGGGAGGGACCCACTGTCTGCCATTCGGGTGCTCCTGTGCACCGAGTGCTGCAGCTGCTGCCGGCTGCTCAGCAGTGTTC